CCTCATCCTTGGCCCTCGATGTTTGTTTTTTGTAAGGTTACTTTATACTTTAAGTAGTTTTTGGTGCTCATACTTTTCACTTTTACTTGAGTAAAGAGGTCAAGTTGATACTTAAACTTTACCATAATGTTTTTAAACTGCAGTATCTATACTTCTACTTCAGTAACAAATGTGTGTACTTTTGACACCACTGGAATTTAGTTTGCAGAATAATACAATGTAAGGAGTTTGAGATGTAAATTTTTTTTGACAAAGTCCAGCAGGAATCACCAAAGAACAAGCAGCTAAGTTTTCTGTTCAAATTGCTAATTTTGATCATTGTTCTTCAGGAGCTAAAACTTTTATAAGGTAGAACTTGTTTCCAATTTGAAGGTCAGTTGTGCTCATGGTTGCTGCATATTCCATATGCAGCTCGTATATTCCTTTGACTTAGACACACTTTGTCATTTTTTACATAGGAGATGGACCATTCCCTGGGCCATCTCCTATGCCTGATACGAAAATGCTTGGAACACCTCCCTATGAAAGTGTCCGGGGGGCTTCTGAAACAGATGTCTGAGCCACCTCTGCTGACTCCTTCCATTGTGAAGGAGAACCCACTCTTTTCTGAGGCTGTCCCGGATGACTATGCACCCGACCCTGTTTCTAAGCAAGTACACCATGTGGATGTTATGCTTCCTGGCACTAGAGCTGGTCTGATTCCATATTCAACACACCTGTTAGCTCCATCCTTATCCCAATCATCTGCTCAACTGACTATATTTTACCAGCTCTCAGACGAGTCTCTAGTGCTAGATTATTACAAGCCATTGGTGAGTTTTGCTCAGCATTCCAGTTACCTGTGTGTCTGCCTGATTTTGACTTGATTCTGCCCGGAGCCCTAATGGACCTGTTATAGTGTGTTTTTTGGATTTCTGACCTGTTTGTTGCGTCTCACTGACTTCCACCAAACACAGTTGGAAGTAATGAAAAAAAAAAATGAAAAAAAAATGCATTACTTAGAATAAAAATCATATCAAAACCTAAAAAAACGGTTTTATCTGAATTTGAAGTGACCAACTTAAGAAAATGTGGGGGATAACTGTAAAAAGGAACAATTTCTAATTCTCATTTCTGTTTTTGTAAAATTTCTGGAGATGACGTGTTGTGAACTGTTACTAAATAATTAAACCTGTTGTGAATTGGATTTAGGTCTGGACTTTGATTGTGTCATTCTTAAGTACAGCTCTGGCTCCTACTGGAAATCCACACTCTTCTTTCCCAGTCTCCAATAGGTTTTCCCATCTACACTTATCAATCCAGGCTGCTCAGTGGTGCAGTGGGTAGCACTGCTGCCTTGCAGGAAGAAGGTTCTGGGTTAAACTCCTGGCCCAGGGTCTTTCTGCATTGAGTTTGCATGTTCTCCCTGAGCATGTGTGGGTTCTCTCCGGGTACTCTGGCATCCTCCCACAGTCCAAAAACATGACTGTTAGGTTAATTGGCTTCTCTAGATTGTCCTTAGGTGTTAGTGTGTGCGTGAATGGTTGTTTGTCCTGTGTGTCTCTGTGTTGCCCTGCGATGGACTGGCGACCTGTCCAGGGTGTACCCTGCCTCTTGCCCATTGACTGCTGGAGATAGGCACCAGCACCCCTTGTGACCCCACTCGGGACAAGAATCCATAACAGAATCCCAGTCCATACAAAGAGAAGCTTGGGTCAAATTTGGCTAGAGGACCTTCTTGGACATGTTTACTGAGACCTTACATATCTAGTAACAAAACTTTAACTGCAATTCTTGCCATTACTTTATAAAAGACAAATTTGAGGAGTGAAGGATTAACAGTTGACAAACTTTGAATTTCTTATGTTTAAAACTTTTAAAACCACAACCTTCTCCCTCACCTGTCTGCTGTATTATTAGGGGTTTCATTCTATATGTCTGTTCACTTTCTCTGTAAGTCAGCTAGAAGTACATTCCAATGCTGAAGGCTAAGATGACCTATAATGACCTTTGAGGTTCTGTTTTTACCTTATATTGTATGGTTATGCTAAGGTCTGGGGCAGAAGCCAGGACACTGACTATTGAGAATTTGGAAGAGGCGCCTCCTGGCTGACTGGGGAATGTTTGGATAAATTGGAAAACATTTAGTGGATCTGGGCCATTTAGCTGTTCTAACAGAGGTCAAGAAGGCAGGCCTAAGATAGAAGGTGAAGACTTCTTCTGCACGTTGTGCTTATATGAACAATTTTGTTAAACATGACTGGAATAAATTCTGTCAATACTTAAATGTGTTTTTTTTGTGTGCATTATCTGAGAAACATTCCTTCTCAGATTTTTACCAGGTGATCAAACTGATGATCGAAAAGTCTGCATTTACAATTTTCTACTTTTCTATTTTCCTACCAATTGATGATAAAGGTACAACAGAGTTTTTGAAGAGAAAGTAAAAGTAAAAACACACACTAGAACCATCTGTGTACATACACTTTATTAGAACAAAGTAAGAGGTTGTTAGGCTTGTCCTATCAGTTAGTCAGAGAACTCTATTTACTGGGAAACAGTATGCATCTACAGGACTGACATCAGAACTCTGACTATCTGCTTACACATAATCTGCAGGCAACATTAATGTGCATGGTGAAAAAGAAAAGTCTATGTAATGGACAGATACTGCTTGCAGCAATGTGAAATCGTAATCTCTAACTAGCTTATATGGGAAAAAACGGATTCATGGAAATTCTGATTGTGATTTTGACTTGAATCATTACAGTTACCTTAGAGAAACAGCACGCGGTACAAAGACAGGACATAGTATCTTTTCTATAGTAAAAACAGGAATCCTATTTAGAAGGGCACAACAAATACAGCTTTGTAGGTCTGACTGAAAAAAAAACTAAAGAATAAATGAGAAATAAATAAAACAATAAATTAAATTCAAAACAGCAACTAAAAGCATTTCACATGTGGCGTCAAGGAGCAAGAGGCACATTGTTTAAAAGTAGTCCTACAGAATGAATTATTAACAAGATCAGGAGCTTCGCTCTGCCACAAAACTGCTAATTTCTGACACTTTGACACTAAAAACATGAACGTTAAAGCAAAAAACTTAGCATGGGCACATCTGATTCTTCAGTGAAAACATCTGAGTGGATAAAACCAAATGGAGGAAACATTCAGCCCCTCTTCATACAGTAGTAACAAGTAGAGCTGATTCGGCTCAGAATTAAAAATAACCCTCCTCCTGAATAAAATAAGCAAAAAGAATAAATAAAAAATAAAAGACATGAGGCCCATTTCACAAAGCAAGTTTAACAAACTCGGACTCAAATCCTCAACTCTAAATTTATCGAGCCTGAGGTTGGAAACGCAGAGTTTTCGGTTTCACAACAGCTGCTGTGGGTTAGTTGAATCAACTCTGAGTAGGTCCACTTAGAGAAGAGGCATCATCAGTGGAGCACTAGTTTGATGAGTCACCATGACAACAGACAACAGAAAGTGACTGTTTTACACCATTGGAACTACAGATACAGAAATGAAAAAAAGAGGAGAATGTGTTTCAAAGATAGGGAAACAGTGCTACAGCTGCAAAGAAAAGGGAGATGGTGTAACAGAACATTGACTGAGTCAATGTGTATAAGTTTATGTGTATTCTGTTATGGCAGGCTGTTTTAACATTTATTAAAAGCACTCTCCTCTCTAAATAATACAAATTTTGATTAGTAACAGTAGGAATATGGAGATTTGACAATTATTTTTGGACATCCAGAAAGTTTATTTTAGATAGAACATTTTGTTTTGGTTGAAATGGTCATTTGGACAAGAAAAAACGTTCAGATATCAGAAGTACATAGTCAGAGAACCTAATAGATATCAAAACAGCCTGCCATAGGCTGTTCTAACACGATAACATGACGGGGAGAAGAGTTTATTGCCTGAAAGGTAGTGGATCAATGTATTATACTTAGGTGTGATCTCAGGGAAACGAATAGAAACTGTCAGCAGGTGAAGTACTAAAAATGATGCTCAAACATGTAGGACCTGAGCATCATCTCATTGGGTTCCTTCCCATTTTTATTCTACTTCAGTCACACAGTAAAAAGTGATAGTCTGGCATTTAATAAAAAATAAAAGCTGTAATCACACACCAATGTTTTCTCACTAATATTTATCACCTAATGTGTTTAAAAGGTAAATTATTTCATTTTTATTTTTCACAAAAAACTAAAACATCAAGAAAAAAAAAACAGATAATTGGCTTTACGGATGATGATGACAGAGGAAACTAAGTTTACTTAAAAAAACTGCTCCCAGCCATGTTAGCTCTGGGGAGAATGTTACTACAGTGACTGAAACAGGGGTTGAGAAAACTCTCTTTGTGAAACAGAAAACTCAGAGTTTGCATGAATTCAGGTTTAGAAAACTTAAAAGTTTTCACTAAATGTGCTTTGTGAAATGGAGCCCTGAAATCCATTCAAAAAAGTATGAATAAAAACAGTGCAGGTAACTGAACACATTTAGGAAAAGCACATGTAGGAACAAACTGTACAAGCAAAATCTAAATAAACAAAATACATTTTGGGAAATTTACACTGAATTTAAAATGTGTTATTATACTTTTTTTATCCAATACTATACAAGCTTTTGAAAAATAAATCTGGCGAGAGGAGACTGGTTTCAGAAGTACAGGCCTAAATAATGTGTAGAGAACCATCAATTAAAGGTCTTAAATTTTTGCTATTGACCAGAAATGCTGATTTATTCAATTTCCTTTTTATAGTCTACAGAACATACATATCAGCTATAGCTTTCCAGCTCCATTAAGATCCACAGAGGAAGCAGGACTTTTGTGACTTTCCTGTTATCTGCTGGTCGTCTTTCTCCATGTCCCAGTCAAATGTGTAATCTGGTACATTTTCTTTTTAGAAAGGTTTTAAATTTTGGTGATTTTTCTAACTTCATTCTCAATCGGCGTAGTATATTTCATGAGTAACGGCTGTCACATCCAAAAAGTGCTGTAACCGTGACATGGTTGTGCTTACTCTGATATATTCACTGATTGGAAAAAGACTGGATCTTCAAGTTTGAAAAAAGCCAGTCAAACTGTAAAACATTTTGCTGTGTCCAATAATGTGTTTTTAACTTTTTCTCAGTTTTTCTTTTTTTTTTTTTTTATGGGAATTTTTTTTTTTATCTGTTGAGTATTTAAATATAAACACGACTGTTTAAACTCTGTGGCTGGCTGGATGTGCTCTCTTCTTCCTCTGACATGGGAGCTGACTCGGAGTTCCTGGATGGGGCCGCCTTTTACAGTTGCTTTTTTTTTTAAATCTCTGCTTCTGTCTCCTTGAACCCCAGTCGGCCTCGGCAGATGGCCGCTAACACTGAGCCTGGTACTGCTGGAGGTTTCTTCCTGTTAAAAGTGAGTTTTTCCTCTCCACTGTCGCTACAAGCATGCTTAGTGTGAGGGATGCATTCAAGTCAATGAGTCAATGCAATCAACTGTTTTTCCTTAGAAAACTTTGAATCAATTTGACTATATAATCTGGTAAACTATAAACTGTAAAGTGCCTTGAGATGACGTGTTGTGAATTGCCACTATATAAATAAACATAATGGAATTCATTTGAGCTGTTCTGGTTCATTTACTAATAAATTGTCTTGCTTTTAATCATAAAAAGATTAACTTGATTACTACAAGAATCATAAAAATAAGTTTAAATAAAGTGTTTAGGGGAGGTGATCAAACAAATTTTGGGCAACTTAAACAGTGAATATAACGTTTGAAAATACATCGACGTTTCAGAAGATGAGCCACTAAGCTGTTATCAACAAATAAAAAAAAAAGGAAGATCCACAGAGGTCCTTGAAAAATCAAGGCACCAATAATATACTGGAGCAAAATCAGTGTAAAAACACAACAACCAGAAAATGAAGAGTAAGACTTGAAATAAAGGCTTAAAACAGAAGTCACTATGTGTGTATCCTGTCAGTAAGACTGGAAATAAAAGAGGAGTTATTCAGCAGTGTCAACCTTTAAGGTGAAATATTCCTTCTTAAAAGCAAACTTTGTTAGATGGGAATGTTCTGCTCAGTTTTTCCAGATAACATCCTTTAAAAAAGCAAACAATTTGTTTTTCCAAAAATGGAATGCATCTTTCTTTCAAAGTATTAAGTCCAAGGTGAAAAACCAATCAAAGGAAAATGTTTTGATGTGTGCTATAATCCACATTCTTCTCAAAACTTCACTCCATACTGGTGTGGAATCCCTTTTCTCCAAGTGAGACGACAATTTTATTCACAAGAAATGAGATCAGGTTCTTTAAAGTCAATTTGTCTCATGTCTATCCAGTGATGTCATAGTTTGGGTCCCAATATTTCGCTGTCATCTCTGGGTCTTACTGTAGATAAAAATATCCTTTTTAATTATCCTGAAAAAAAAAATCATGGACAAGTTTTTTCTGGCTTTCCCTTCATGATTCAAGACAATATCACTCCTGGCACCAGGGTCATAGGTCCGTAACCTTGTTTTCCACAGCAGCAGCAATCTGTTGGAGTCTGTAACCGAGCTGCATCTTTTGCGCAGTAGCATCCTCTTCCAAAGCTGTAATAATCTGACAATAAAATGCAAAGAGTCAGTTGAAAGGTAAATAAAAGGTACTGAACAGGACTGGAATTAAAACATTGTGACTTTGCAGCTCCTTTTCAATTCTATATTTAAATTGTGCATTAAAAACAGATTTAAAATAAATTCCAACCACTAATAACATTTATAAAATGTTAAAAAAAAATTGCAAAAAACTGAAGTCCATAAAAAACAAAAGTGCATCCTGGATGAGCCCCCAATGATTCTATGGCCAGCCTAATAATAATAAAAATAATTGAACTTTATTGATCTCACATTGGAGAAATGTACATCTGCATTTAACTCAGCTCCTTGGGGAGCAGTGGGGGGGGGGGTTAAAGGTCTTGCTCAGGGACCCAGAGTGTAGGCTGTGGGGATTGAACTGGGTACTTGCAACCTTCTGAGAGCACAAGCACACTGCTCTAACCACTAGGAAAACACTTCTCCATCCCCCGTATTTAGGCAAAATATAAAACAAGCAATGAACAAAGTTCATCAGACAAGTTTATATAAGTTTTCTTTCAGAATCATGTCGATTTTTTTTTTTTTACAGATTTTACCAAGCAGGTCTTATATTAACACCTGCACAAAAAATAAACACTACAGTTTAATGAGAAAAAAATAAAATAAAAAATTCTCTAGAGCAGGGGTCGGCAACCCAAAATGTTTAAAGAGCCATACTGGACCAAACAAACTAAAGACAGATCTGTCTGGAGCTGCAAAAACGTAATAGGCTTATATAAACCTCCTAAGGGCTCTACATGTATATTAGCCCACTATCAAAATAATAATGTGGCTTAAATACATAATAAGCATAAATGATTAAATGTTTATTTTCCCTGCAGCGTATCCTGGAGAAAATGAATCAATGAGACTAATCTGCTGTACGATATTTGGTGCTTCAAGTTTAACTTCCATTACAGTAGTGATATATTATGATTTATTGAATCTATGGAATTATAGAAATACAATAAAGATATCAGATTTTTGGTGGTATGTTTAATTTATGGATTTGAATAACAAAAAAAAACAAAAAAAACAAGCATAATATGACTGCTGTAATTTGAAACCTTGATGTGGAAATAAAACGCAGTCCTCTGCAAACCACTGTAATAACATAATACCCCCATCCCATTTGGGCAACTGTACAATAAAACGCAGCCCTTTTGATGAGGTAATTAGGCAATGTAAACGCAAATAAGCCAGTATTTAATTACGGTGCACCCACCGGTTTGTTTACAACAGCCACCTGCCTGGCCCCGTGTTGTGCTGAAACGTGTGACACAGGCTATGATGCAAATCTTGGTTGATAGAAATGTTTACACTAATTTATTATACAAATTTCTACAGCAATGGAAAATATAAAGAATGTTTGTTCTACAAAAATCGATCTTTATTCCATTTTGTGTGCTTTGAAAAAGGGCCGCAAGGGGGGATGGGGGTGCGCTAAAGAGACACATGCAATACCAGGGGAAATGCAGAGACGTCATATGCTGGAATATCTGAAAAGTAATACTTACTTGATCATAGTATTTATTGATGTACTTGTACAGCTCATGTAAAGCTACATGGCAGTTGACCTCTGCTGCATAATTCTGTTCAGGGACAAGAAAAAATTCAAAGTTAATTGTTTTAAGGATCCTGGACAACTAGCAGCTCTAGAAACTATTTACTCACACGAGAGAGTTCTGCAAGAGCTGAGTTCATCTCCTGGTCACTTGCAGAAATTGTCTGTTTGATGTCAGCATAGTACCTATAAAAGCAGAAGAGTAATAATATTAGTTATTATTGCTTAACTGTATCTTCTTTCTATTTTATTTTTCTCAGCAGATTCTCATATATATACAGGAAATATAAAAGTTTATATGATGGTTACTTTTAAACTAACCTTATAAGGTCAGTGAAAGCAGCTCATTTGTTTGACAGACTCCTGCTCGGTGATGCTTTAACATATTGCTAGTGTAATCTGCATGGTTTAATGTGCAGCTGACAGTAGTAACGGTAGCAGTCTGCTTTCAGACTATCCATGCATGGAAGCCCTGCAGGCTTCATCTACCTTATGTCAGCCACTAACAGATGTCCTCAGCTTCCCTCCCTCTTCTCTCCACCTAAGAATTTTTTGTGCTCGAGGTGAAAGGGGCAGCTGGCTGCTATATTCTTACCTCTCCACCATCTGTTTGTAACGTGGGATGTCTCTGGCATACAACAACTTGTTGATTGGAGAATCCTGAACAAAGCAGAGATTTTAAGACATGAAAAATCTGATAAATGGGCAATACAGTATAAATAAAAAAAGGAATAACCAAATATGTTCTGTGTGCACAACATTGCTTCATTTCATTTATACAAATTATTAATTAATCAACTTGCAAATTAATTGTGATCTTTAATCCATGTAATTACTCCCTTTATCAAGCTGGGATTTGTATACAGTGTTGCTGACATTACTTAGTTTCAGGTTTCTCTAGTTTTCCAGGTTTTGAAAATAAATGTATATTAAAAGGGTGGGAGGGAGGGAGAGAACATGAACCCAACAGGTTCTGTGCAATGACTCTGTATCTCCTCACCCTTCCCAGTTTGTGGTCAGCAATGGTGCAGGAATCCATGAAGGTCTGAGCGATGACAGACAGCACAGCGTCTACGTGATCGGAGGTCTGCACGTCAAAGATGAACTGGGGATTCTTCAGAATATTGATCCAGAACCGCAGCGGTAAACTGTATCAGAACATGCCACAACATTTTTAATAACAGTAAAGTGAATGTCAGAAAACTTTACAACATTTTTTCTCCAGGTGCACAGTTTTATATCATTAAAACACTTTACACTACAGTATTTTATTGTTTATCTTTTATTTTTTTCACAATTATGTTATTCAATACAGATTCTATTCTATTAAACATTAGTGTTGTCTTCTAAACATTTACTTCTCACTAAGCTGACAATGGAATAGCCTGTTCATCTCATTGACTCCTGGAACTGGATTTATAGACACTATCTAGAGATGACAACAAGCCATAATCACACATCTAATACAAAAGAAATTGTACAAAAGAAGGTTCTAGAGTTCTTTTTATTGCCAAAAACAGGCAAGGGCCTGTTAACCAGTTTAATGGTAAACCATTGAATGAAAAAGCTCTGGTTTCAAATCCGTCACAGTTCGTGCAATAAGTGAGTTCCTTTTATTTTTTTTTATATTTGAACCTGGTCAGAGAAAGTGCTAAACTGTGACCAACTGGTCCCCTGTGTTTGGTCCCTTCAGACAAGAAGCCACGCCACAACGCTGCACCAAGAAACCAGCTAAAGTCATCTACGTAGGAAAACTTTGGCTACTGCAGAAGGACAGACAGCAACGGCTTCGAAGGAGCTGCTACTACAAACCAATGCTTGATGTATTTTCTGACATATTCAGGCAGATGGGTGTTTTATATCATGTTCAACAATAATGAAATTTAGCAAAAACCTGCTGTAGATTAGTATTATTAAATAACCCCAACCCTGACCAATTAGAGCCATTTTTTATAGATGCTTTATGCTATGAATTCTACCATTGATGGGGAACTGAACCCCTAATGTAGCAGCTTTCAGAATGCACCACCCTCTTCCACACCTAGGTTACCTGTTAGTTTTCCAGATGTGAATGGTCTCTGGGTCAGTGATGCCGTGCTGCAGGGCCTGCTCATCCAACAGGTCAAAAAAGTATTTGACAGCCAGAGGGACGGGGCGGCTGGTGCTCAGGATGGCAGTGAATAGATCATCCACAAACTTCTGCAGAGTCCCCTGATATAGAACAGAGAAGGTGATAGAGATGAGATTTAAAATAAAAGAGAAGAAGCAATTGGAGATAGATAGGAAATCAAATTCTAACCCTTAAAATGCAGAGGTCTCAAAATCTGAGAAGAGTTAAAGGTATAGTGGAGTATTCTCAGAAATTTTTGAAAAGACCCACCCTATCTACTTTAAAAAACCCTATCTACTTTAAAAAATGCACAATCCTGTACCTGCTCCCGAGAGGGAAAGCCTAGTAAACACGTGCAAAAGCTTGCACGACACATTTCTTCTTGTATATGCTCAGTTTAAAAGTTGCTGTTTGCATCGCTCATAAAAGCTTACTTTCCAAAAGAAGGTTTGCAATTTTTCCACTTTGTCAGACTCATCACCGGTAAGTGAAAATGGGGACGAGCACGTTGGCCTTACATAAACCTATCACCAGAATGATTGGCAATTAGGAGGACCACTTATTGAGATGATACACCTGCAAAAAGAACATCCTCCACTATACCTTTAATTTAAGTCAACTAAAATTAAACTAAAATAAAACTGGATGAGTTTAATAGTAAATCTTTGGAACAATCATTGCAGATTTAAGCTTTTTATAGATTCCTTATTATTAATGTTTTCTAAGGGATTTCTGACATTTTTCCTTTTCTTTTGTAGTATATGACACTCTCACTTTCAAAGGATGTTTTTTTGTTTTTTGTTTTTATTGTGGTCTTTGAGCCATTTAGGTACAGTTAGACTAATTTCCTGAACCACTGCATTGTCAAACAGAGACAATTCAGCAGCAACCAAAGATTAAATTTTAGGTAACTGGAAGGGGTGTAACAATAAATCAATCCATGTCAATATATTGATTAAATGATTAACAATTTCAAAATACTGATTGAAAATTTAAATATTGTTAATATTCTCAGATGTGCTCACTCCAGCTCTACCAGATCAGAATTTAAGGTGACCTCCTTCTACGGCTTTTGTTAATTCAGTTTATGTGAGTATATGTAGATGTTAATGATCATTTTTAATTTGTATATATCAAATCATATCAATGAGAGCCTCACTAACTACATTTCTTTACTTGGCATATCAGCAAACATCAGACTGTCATTCAAATAAATCAATATAAAACTCATTATGAGCTGGTGATTTACATTCCTGGCAGTGAAGCCTAGGAAAAGTAAAAAATATATTTGAACTTGTTACCATAAACCTCTTGATGATGCAGAAATCAACAACATGACAAACATTTTTTAGGAAGCAAAAAGGATGATTTTGAAGACAGAAAAAAACTGAGGATCAAATGAACTTTGATGAATCAGTCAGGTCAGATTTCATTTTCCTCTGCTGCTTAAAGACAATTTCAGGAACCATTTTGTCCAGTTTTACACTTTAATGAGCAAAGCATTGCAATATGTAAAGGTTTTGGTTTTAGGAGCAGCTGTAATCAGCAATGTTTTAAAGCAGAGACAAAATGTTTAAGCTCTTTAAGTTTTACTATTAGCGATAAGATCAGCTGTCCCTTATTGTATTTCTAGTGAATGCAGATCTTTACCTGAACTATAGATATAAAGAATGATGCAAAGCAGCTTCCTCTTATCTGTCTCTTTCATATTATCTTTGCAGCCTGAATAAAGTTCACATTTTTTACAGAAAATATTTAGTTGCAAATCGCTTTTCATTGTGCTTCCTCTGATTCCCCAATGATACTGCTGCTTCTTTTAACAGCAATGTTCACAGTGTTGTTGTTGTTGTTTTTACACAATCTGCTGCTGCTTAAAGAGTCTGTGTTCACTGATGGGAAAATAATGGGTTGTAGAATTTTGTTTGTATGGTTGAGTATATATATCCATCCATCCATCCATCTATTTTCTAACACGCTCAGTCCCAAGAAGAGTTGTGAGGGGTGCTGGTGCCTATCTCCACCTGTCAATGGGCGAGAGGCGGGGTACACCCTGGACAGGTCGCCAGTCCAGGATTTAGAGAATTTAGAGAAGCCAATTAACCTAACAGACATGTTTTTAGACTGTGGGAAAAGCCGGAGTACCTGGAGAGAACCCACGCATGCTCAGGGAGAACATGCAAACTCCATGCAAAGAGCAGAACCCAGAACCTTCTTGCTGCAAGGCAGCAGCGCTACCCCCTGTGCCACTGAGCAGCCCGAGTATATATATATACACATATATACATATCTATCTATCCATCTATACACTACCATTCATAAGTTTGGAGTCACATTGAAATTTCCTTATTTTTGAAGGAAAAGAATTGTACATTTCAATGAAGATAACTTTAAACTAGTCTTAAAGAAATACACTATACATTGCTAATGTGGTAAATGACTATTCTAGCTGCAAATATCTGGTTTTTGGTGCAATATCTACATAGGTGTATAGAGGCCCATTTCCAGCAACTATCACTCCAGTGTTCTAATGGTACAATGTGTTTGCTCATTGGCTCAGAAGGCTAATTGATGATTAGAAAACCCTTGTGCAATCATGTTTGCACATCTGAAAACAGATTACCGGTAGCTCATTAC